TGCGGTTGGGGCCCAGGAGATGCAGTTGCGCCTCTTTCATCAAGGCCTGCGGCCAGATTCAGATAGTGGACCGGTTTCCCATTGGCATTTTCGGCCTCTATATCCAGCATGCATTGTCGGCCTCACGTTTATGTGCCCAGGGCCTAAMCAACTCTGGGGCCCTGGGATTTCTGCATTTGCAGAGCTCCGATATTCGGTGCACTCCAACCAACTGGCGTGCTGCAACTGTATGGACCCCACTTCRTGAAATGTTTGCACAGAGGGCTCTTGTTGATTTGCTGGCCCGTCTTCACTTAGGGCGGGCACGAGGCTTGCTGGGGCCTTAGCCCARAACATGTACATCATGGCAAGGCCCCTTCTTGAGGGCTCAATCCTCACATTCCATCCCCCTTAGCTTCGAAAGTCTGCTGAGATGCTTACTTCGCAGGTGCCTTCCCTTTTAACATCCTCTCATATTCTGCCACCACTTGAGGAGCTGTGTCAATCAGTTCCTCTCTGGTAAACCACCAATCTTCCCTCGGATCCGTATGATGCCTGAATCTGACGCGATACTCCCGCTTGGGTTTTGGAGGTCTTCCTCTACCCAGTGGCTTTGGAACAAGCAGATCTCTGTGATCCACAATGTCGTCGATGTCCACTTGACCATCCATGGTTGGGGGCAACATTGATCTCCTGGAAGAAAATTGATCTGTCTCAGCGAAAGGTGCAAGCTTTGAGGCATGAAAGATAGGGTGAGTGCGCAGATGACCAGGGATGCGGATAACATAGGTAGGACCATCCTACTCATCCCTGATTATGTCCAAGACTTCCCAGGGACCAAAATACTGAGGCATTAGTTTACGAGAGATTCCGAATTCCTGTCCTAGCTCACTAGCCTTGACCCTGACACGTTCCCCTACCTGAAATGAGGACTGCAGACGATGTTTGTTCTCATAAGCAATCATTGCTTGTTGAGCTTTCTTGATGTGCTTGACAGCTTGCTGCAGTAACTTCTCATGCTGCACACCATACTCAAGTGTGCCTGGAGTTGCAGAGGGTCGGTTTTCAGGTAGGAAGAAGTCCAGAGCTGATCTAGGCTTCCATCCCAAGTGCAACTGATTAGGACTAACGCCGATACTGCTGTGTACAGCGTTGTTGTACAAGCTGGCGATGAGAGGCAACTTCTTTCCCAATCATCCTCACTGGGCTTGATGTAATGCCTCATCAGGTGTTGTACAACTCTGTTCATTTGCTCGGCCTGTCCGTTGGCTTCGGGATGATTCCTTGAAGTCATCTGAAGTTGACTGCCCATCTCTTCAACAGTCTTCTTCTATAGCTCACTTGTGAAGCGGACATCTCTGTCACTAACGATTGACTTTGGTAGTCCAAAATCACGCACCCAGTTGTCTTGAAACAACTTGATGACGTGTTCAGTCCTTGCGGTCTCTCGCATGACAATTAGTCTAGCGTATTTGGTGAATCGGTCAATGATGACAAAGATATGCCTCTTGCCACTCTTACTGGTCACCAGGGTGTCCATGAAATCCATGGAAACACTGTCTCCTGGACTAGCTAGAATAGGTAAGGGCTTCAGTAACCCAAGCGGTGCTTGAGTTCGCGGCTTGTCCCGCTGACAGACCTGACAGGTCACTACATACTTATTTGCGTCATCTAGCATTCAAGGCCACCAAAATCGTTGTAATAGATTGGCACTCGTCTTTTTGTAGCCAAAGTGTCCGGTTGCGTCATGACATTCTCCTAGAAATAAACTACGCAAGCGTTCACTAGATGGAACAACTAACCTTTTACAACCAGCCTTATCAAGAAAGAGAAGCCCGTCCACCATCACAAACTCATCTTCTGTGGCCTTGTCTTTTGCCTGAAGCTTGCGTATGATGTCCATCGTGACAGGGTCTTCCTGATAGGCTCCCACCAACGATTGAGTTAGTTCCTCAGATACACCAAACTCAGAAACTAGCGCCCCTAGGTAGTCTGCTCTACGTGACAGCGCATCTGCAACCTTTTTGTACTCTCCCTTCAGATACTCTAGCTTGAAGTCATATTGATCTATGACCTCAATCCATCGCTTGAGTGCATCAGAGAGAGCCGGTTGTGTCTTGATCCATTTGAGGGTCTGATGGTCAGTTCTCAAATAAAAGAACCTTCCCAATAGAAAGTGTCTCCAATGGACAAGTGCTTTGTATAGAGCATAGAGTTCCCTCTCATAGGTGGACTTTGCCAGTTTCTTTGAGGGCGTTTTCTTACTCATGTACTCAATTGGCCTCAACTTCTTCCCATCCTGCTGAGCTAGCACTGCGCCAATGCCGTATTGGCTTGCGCCAGTGGTCACTATGAATGGTTTCTGAGGATCGGGCACAATGAGAACCTCATGATTCATGAGTGCATGGTTCAATCGTTTGAAAGCAGCCTCGCACTCATCACTTCAGTCCCACGGCGTATCAAGCCAAGTTAGATCAGTCAAAGGAAAGGCGACTGTGGAATAATTTTTCACAAAGTTCCTATAGTAGTCGCACATTCCTAAGAATGATCTGACCTCAGTAACAGTTTGAGGTCGTGGCCAGTCCCTTATACTAGCCACCTTCGCATCTTCCGGCCTAATACCTTTC